TTTCCAGGGGCGCCGTCCTGAAAAAATCAGGACGTCGCATGTCTGGGAGGGTTTCTTGGGGAAGAGGACAGCGTGTCGCGCCGGTGCGTGGTGGCCCAGAGCCGGCGGAGCGACGCGCTGAGCCAGAGCCCCTGGCCAGACGCAACGGCGGAAACAGCGTCGGAGGGCCGGCTTACCCTGCGCGGCGGCAGGCAGGCTTGCTCGACGAGCGCGGGGGGAAGCTCGGCTCCCAGGGGCAGTAGAAGAAGTCGAAGCGGCTGGAAATGTGGAGGTTCTTCTCTTCCAGCAGGTCCATAACCGCGGTCTGGGTCAGGAACCCAGGCAGGCTCGCAAGCATCACGGTCGTCGTGCCGGGCGGTATGACGGCGGGCCCGGCGGGCACATCCAGCATGTACGGCGGGAGCTGCTGCGGCTGGACAGGCTGGTGCTGCTGCCGCTGCTGCACATACTGCTGCTGGTTATGCTGGTGGTGGTGCTGCTGCTGCTGCAGCGGAAAGGGCAGCTGCGGCTGCTGCTGCTGCGGCAGCGGCATATGCTGCTGCAGCTGCTGGAACTGCATGTGCTGCTGGCGTGGCTCGTGCTGCCCAGGCGGCGACGTCGGCTGCTGCCGGACTAGGAGCTGCTGCTGGTACTGCAGTTGGAGCTGCTGGTGCTGCTGGTGCTGCTGGTGCTGCTGCTGCTGCGGCGGCGGCTGTGGCGGCTGCCGCTGCTGCTGCTGCTGCTGCTGCTGCTGCTGCTGCTGCTGCTGCTGCTGCTGCTGCTTCTTGCCGCCCCTGGAGCGCGGAGGGTCCTCGGAAAGGTCCGCGGTGGCCGCCAGACTCTCTCTCTCTCTCTCTCTCCGCCGACCCCTACAGAGAAGGAGGACGAGGGCGGAGGGCGAGGCAGAAGGGGCGGGAAACAGTCTCCTCCTCCTCCTTCAGGGGCGAGAGGCCGCCAGGGGGGGGGGGGAACCAGCTGCATGCAGCCAGGGGCGAGAGGCCGCCAAGAGGGGGGGGGGAATCAGCCGCATGCAGCCGGCCTTCCTGGCGGTGCGTGGGGCGGGCGACCATGGATCGAGGAACTTGCCCAGCGCCGGGGCCGAAGCCCATCCATTGCATGCGGCAGGTTCCGTACCGCCGCCCCTTTCCCAGGCCACACGTTCGCCCGCACTGATCTGCCCTGCATCCTCTGCCCCGCTCCGCAGCTTCCCAGAGCACCCGCTGCGGCGGTGAGGAGGGGGACGGGGGGCGGGGGGAGAGGGGGGGGATCTTCGCGCAAGGGAGGGGGGGTAGGAGGACGGACAGGGAGGACACATGGGAGGACTGGGGGCAAGAAGTGGGGAAATCCAAGGGCACCGAGACCGCTGCTCCCCAGACTTCTCCCGGGGAGCGTCCCGACCAGAACACATCGGGGCGAATCCTACGGTGGCGACGAGGGCCCCCCAGGAGGCCCGACAAGGACAACACGAGGCAGGGGCAACGTTAGGTCGGGCATGTCCTCCTACATGCGGAGCTTGGACGAACAATTGAAAATAATCACAACATATTCAAAGCATACTCAAACATAATTCCAAACAACATCCCCATACTATTTTGTGTTATTGAACTTATTTTTGAAAATGATTCCTGTGTAGGGACATGCCCGACTTACGGGTAGCGGTATGGGTACTTTCTCTCCTCCCGCAGCGGGCAAAGGCCAGGAGGAGGGGAGCAGCGAGGGCCTTCCCCACCCGCAGCGGCGCTGGGGTGAGGTCGGGCATGTCCTCCTGCAGGCGGATTCTGGACGACACATACAACATACCCCAAACATATTCCAGACTAGTCAAACATACATTTGTCGATAAAAAATGAAAACATCCCCCCTTAAAAGTAAATAACACTTGAACAAGATGAAGACTATAGGAATTATAAGGTATATGACATGTATGATACAAGTGAGCAAAAGTCAAATGAACAAGACAGACAAAGAAAGAGCAAACAAACGTCCCCCCCAGCATGTTCGGACTCTGTTGGAGGTCCCCTCCTGTCGAGGGCCAGGCCCGACGCAGCCCGAGTGCGGGCTCCCCGTGGCCCCCTCCGCCCGCCCCTCGCGCCCCCCCCCCTCCGCCCAGAGGTCTCCGCCCCGCCCGCGGGCGGCGCTGGGAGCGCGGCCCCCGGGGCGGCAGGGAAAGCGACTGGGGCGACGGGCCGGGCTGCCGCGCGAGGGGAGGGAGGGCGGGGAGGAGGAGGCGGAGGAGGAGGGGGAGGAGGAGGAGGAGGAGGAGGGGGGGGGGAAGGAGGAGGAGGAGGAGGAGGGAGGAGGAGGGAGGAGGAGGAGGTGGGGGCGGAGGGAGGGGGAGGGGGGAGGGAGAGGGGGAGGAGGGGGAGGGGGAGGAGGAGGAGGAGGGGGAGGAGGGGGAGGAGAAGGCGGAGGAGGAGGAGGAGGAGGAGATGGAGGGGGCTGATGATGATGATGATGATGATGATGATGATGATGATGATGATGATGATGATGATGATGATGGTGATGATGATGATGCTGCTGATGATGATGCTCATGATGCTCATGATGATGATGATGATGATGATGATGATGATGATGATGATGATGATGATGATGATGATGATGATGATGAGGAGGCGATCGAGCCGAGAGTTGCAGGCAAGAGTCAGACCCTCACTTTGATGTGTCATGGCAAGCTCGGCTCGATGTATCGAGCCACGATGGCGCCCGTCGTGACGTTCGTGAGGGCCTTGCGGGAGTCCTGGGTGCCATTGAGGATCCTCGAAGTTTCCTTGTGGGCTGTGAGGCTTTCTTTAGAGCGCATCGGATGGACCATATTGGAGCCTTTCCGATGGGTCACGCGTGAGGGTGACGTGATTGATGTTGGAGAGGCTTGCCCGTGGCTTGTAGCGCAACTCCTGAACAGGGCCGTTCAGGCCTGGCAGTGGATGTACGTGCCTCTGGACGAGTCCTTGGGGCATCTGGCTGGCGGCGCTGTTTGGGAGCCGCTTGCGTCTCTGATGAACACAGGGAGGTGCCGATCTAGTGAGTGCAAAGATGTGCCGCACCTCGCTAACACGCAGAGAGGGTACCTCCAATCGGTCATTGTCAATGGTCAGTGGCCGATGGCGAGGAAGTTCGACGCGGGCTTCTCTGCGGACGCTGCGTGTTTGCTGTGCGGATCGGAGGGCACTCTGCTTCATCGCCATTCGTTTCTGTGATGCCACTGAGCGTCCGCCTGTGCCCGATGAGTTTGGAGTTTTGACGAACAGGGCGGGCGACCCAAGTCGTTACGACCATGCTTGAAATATGTCTCTGGGCTCGTACAAAATTGCCTGAGAGGTGGAGGCCGCCTGCGTATCGGCAGATCGCCTGGCACCGCCGCTCTGGCCCTGGCATGATCCAGGCCCCTTTGTGCCTGCCTCGACGGATCGGTCTTTGGGGGGGACCGGGCGGAAGGGTTGGTCGCGGGATGGGCGACTGTTACGATCACGTCCAACCCTCTCGAGGTCATGGACGTGGAGGGCGCGGAGCCCGCCAGGGACGTGGAGGGCGCGGAGCTGACCGCGCTGGTGCATTTGCCGAAGGTTGCTGTCCCTCCGATTGTGGCCATCACGGGCAGTGCGTTTGTGAATGATGGAGTTTGTGTCAGAGGCGCTGAGCGCACCACTGCGTTTGGCACCTCTGGCGTCGCTTCTGGTCTCTCCTGGAGGATTTTGGAGGTCTCGGCAAGAGCGGCTTGGTGGCGCTTAAGATAAAAGCGCATCTCTCCGCGGAAGCGGTCGTCGCGGGGCGGATTTTCAGGTCGGGCATGTTCGGAAACTGCCAGGCCGATGTGTGGGCCAAGCCTGCTGCCGCCAGTTTCAGAGTTCCGAGTGAAGTCAGACAGCTCAGGTCCAAGTCGCACGCGCTGGTAGAGCGCGTGGCGCACTGGGTAGGCACCGTCGGGGCTGCGATGGATAGTCTTGACTGTGTTGCGACTCGGCACTCGGCGAGACCGATTCGGCCGCGAGCGTCTGGCCCGATTCGGCACGTGCGAGCGATTAGCGAGCACGATTGGCATGGCCCCGACGGAAGCCGCTGGTGCCGTCTCTGACGCGTGTTGGAGCCTGCGCAAAGCGAGTGCGCAGGATCGATTGTTGTGCGTGCTGTTGAGGCCTCGAAGGTTCTGGAGGCTCGAGGAGGAGCTCCGCATAAGTTGGTTGCCTTAGACACCGTACCACATTTGTGGCACCCGCGGAACCCCGCAGTCGCGTGCGTGAGATGTGGGGCATATTCCTCCACGCAGTTGAAGTCTCTGTCCTCCCCTCGCAAAACGCCTGGGGCGCATGGGTTAAAGGCCCTCAAGAGGCTTAGAGCTGGTTTCCTCCCTGAGGGAAGAGACAAGGTCTCGGCTGTCACTACAGAATGTTAGCCTGAGGCCTAGATGTGGAGCGGTCAGACGAGCGCTCCGATGCATCGGGAAGAGGAGGGGGAGGAGGAGGAGGAGGAGGAGAAGGAGGAGGAGGAGGAGAAGGAGGAGGAGGAGGAGGAGGAGGGGGAGGAGGACGAGAAGGAGGAGGAGGAGGAGGAGGAGGAGGCGGAGGAGCCCGGGCCCTCCTGCGCGAGCGGATGGAGGCGGGAAGGGGCCGAGGGGCCGAGGGCCCAGGCACACGATGCCCTGACTTCTGCCAGTGCGCCCCCCCCCCCCCCCCCCCCCCCCAGGAAACCCGCCGACCTCTGCCCCCGGGGGTCCCGTTCTGCATCCCGCGTCGTTTTGCGACAGCCACTGGAGACCTTGGCGAGGACTCCCGCGAGGACGGAAACAGCCACAACCACCGCACGTCGTGCTTTTTTCTTCCACGACGCGAACATGCATGTCTGGGGGAGGGCGTGGTACAAGACCCCCCCTTTCGTGGCCAGTTCGAGATGACAAGTGCTATGGGCATCCTGGGCCTCTGGGGGTCCTTGACGGGCCCCCTAGGGGCCGTCAAAAAAAAGCTGATGATGATGAATCTGACGGCAAGATCCCGTATGTGAATATCCTCGGGCTGCAAGAAGTACCGCGGTAGCACCGACGCAACACCGAGAGCAACATCGACGGCAACGCCGAGGCAGAGGGCGACGGCGAAGACGGTGCCGCTTGCACTCCACGCAGAATCGATCCCACTGACCCCTCCTCTCGTTGGGGCGTATAGGTTGGACAGGGGGGGCGGGGGGCTAGAGGAACATCGATTTAAACTGTCATCAGAGAGAAGAAATGTGAGCACCGAACTGGGTTCAATCCCTAACCCCACCTTGGGATAACCCCCCTCTTCGAGACCCCAATCCTGGGGTCCATCCTGGGGGGATGTTCCATCCCGTGTCGATTCTCGAAGGTCCCGGGGCCTGAGACAAGCCGCGGCGGCCGAAAACGGCGAAACGAACGCCGAGCACTGCGAACAAGCAGCTCCTCGAACCTCGAGGCTCGGCCGACGGTCGACGACGCGGGCCACGCCATCGGGCGCAGGCGCTCCTCGGGGATGTTCGCGGCGATGCTGAGCGTGCTGCGCCGAGGGCTCGGGCTCGAGTTGTCCGCCGTGCTGGCGCCGTCGAGGTCGGGGGGGCAGGTCTCCTCGCTCTCCTCCGGGGGCTGGGGGGGCGGGTCGAGGATCGAGCATCGCCGGGCGTGCGGCCCGACGCGTCTGCGCCGCGTGGCCGTGGCCGCGGGCCCCGGCGACCTCCCGTGCCCTGCGGGCCGGCAGCGTGCCGCGCTCCGCTCCGCGGGGGTGGGCGGCCGGGAGGAGCGCGGGGGCGTGACTGCGCCGGGGGCGGGGGCTCGGTCAGCGCGTCGCGCCGCGGCGCAGCGGGCCAGGGCCAGCGGGGAAAAGTCTCGTTTTGCGTGGAGCTCCGGACCGCGGCCCCAGGCCTCCTCCCGCTGTGCGAAAGAACATGCACGAGGGACGATGCTTCACACTGATCGGCCCTGGGAGGGGCCTCGCTGGGCCTCGGGGCTGTCAAGAGGCGACGCAGGATGGAAAGCCAGTCCTGGGGAAGTGGTCTTGAAGGAGGAGGAGGAGGAGGAGGAGGAGGAGGAGGAGGAGGAGGAGAGGGAGGAGGAGGAGGAGGCCGAGGAGGAGGAGAGGGAGGAGGAGGATGAGGAGGAGGAGGAGGAGGAGGAAGAGGAGGAGGAGGAGGAGAGGGAGGAGGAGGAGGAGGGCCGAGGAGGAGGAGGGGGAGGAGGAGGGCCGGGGAGGAGGAGGAGGACCTCTGGGTGTCCACGCCGCGACAAAAATGACGACGTCGGAGGTCCTTGGACGGGAAGCATGGCGACCCCAATCCCCGAGTTCTCTGGGAGCCTCGACCGGACGAGGGCTCTGGGGCCAAACTCGGGGATGCACGATAGGGGGACGTCCATCTTCGACAGGGGTGCGTCCGAATAGTCCCCCCCCCGAGGGTGCATCCTCGAGTTCCTCGTGTTCCGTGAGCGGCCAGGTTTCTGAAGAGGACTCGGGGACTGGGGGCGAGAAGTCGCCTGCGAGAACGAACGTCAGGAGAGTGGGGGACTAGGGGGGAGCGCATCAAGACGGACGCTGTTCAGGCTCATTCTGCCGAGGAGCCTTTCCCGGAACACGACTGGGTGCATGTTATGAGGCCTCTGTCTTTCAACACGTCTCGTCAAGTCTTCTGTGAAGAGCGCACTTTTTTCAGGATGCCTCGAGATTCGGCATTCCTCCTGGGGAGGAGGAGAAGGAGGAGGAGGAGGCGGAGGAGGAGGAAGATGGAGGAGGAGGAAGATGGAGGAGGGGAACCGACGATCGAGGACAGACGTGTCAGGGGCAAGGCAAGACGACACCATCACCGCGGCCACCACCCTCGCGAGGAGCCAGGCAGGGCTCTCCTGGTGCTGTGCCCCCCCCTGGTCTGCGGTACCAGATCCCGCCTCCAGACTGCTGGATCTGCCTCGGCCCAAAGCTGGATCCGCCTCGAAATTGCTGCAAAGAACCCTAAGACGCGTCCCCCCGCCTCCGCCTGCACCTCCTCCTCCTCCGCCTCCACCTCCTCCTCCGCCTCCGCCTCCGCCTCCGCCTCCGCCTCCTCCTCCTCCTCCGCCTCCTCCTCCTCCTCCTCCTCCTCCTCCGCCTCCGCCTCCTCCTCCGCCTCCGCCTCCGCCGTCGCCTCCTCCTCCTCCTCCTTCTACCACCCCTGGGGCAATGCCTGGGGGGGTCACCACCAGGGGCGTGGTCTCCTCCTCGAGGAAGCGCCGCACTTCCTCGAGGGGAAGTTGGCGTCAAGATCGCTCCAGGGCGTTCCCAAACGGCCCCCAAAGTCTCTTGTAAAAAAACACTTTGAAAGCGTCAGCAACGCCCAGCACTGGTAACGCCTTCTGGCGCTGCCCGACCCCCCCCCACCCCAAGCCCTCACGACGCCGCGGGCCCCCTCGACCCTGGACAATACCCGGACCCCAGACGTCGTGACTTTCACGACGTCGACCCCAAGAGGCCTGGACCCCTTCCCAGGGACGGGCTTTTCTGAAGGGGCCCTGGGACACACAAGTAAATGCACACAAATAAAAATATTCCCCATATTTGTTTTTGTCTTCCCCCCCACTTCCCATATTTTGCAATATTTTCTGGGGGATCGACGATTAATTATGTCTGTGTGTTTTTTCCCCTCCTCATTCTCATCCTGAGCCGTTTTTTGACGGCCCCGGGGCCCGGGAAAGGGCCCCGCGGAGGAGGCCCAAGCTTGCGGACATACACCTCCCGCCACGATTTGTTGTCGCAGCGCGCTGGGGGTCGGGGACGAAGGGGGGCCTGGCTGCGCGGAGGGCACCGACGGCCCCGTGTCCTACCTCCATCCCCTCCTCAGGAGCGGCCAAGAGGGGGGTGTCCAAGAGGGGGGTGCAAATCATGACCGGCGGCATGTGCGCGGCCCAGCGGGGGGACCAGGGACGTAATGAAATAAGAAGAGGCGCCATGAAATCTCGGGGAATATCACGGCCCCCGCCATGATATCCCCCCCCCCTAGTCATCACCCCCCTCTTTGCCGCCCCCGGCCTCCACCCCATGACGGAGGGTCGGGCAGTGAGGCAGGCCGGGCCCGGTGAGGCCCACACGACGCGGCGCCGCCTTCCCCCCCCCTCCCTGTCGGAAAGAGGCGATCAACCCGACGACGTTTCTGCTTTCCAGACCCCCTCGCGGTGTGAACAAGATCACGGCGGGACCTTTGTCGCTATTGTCGTCCTCTAAGGGCCCTCACCGGGCCTCGGGACTTTCAACAACAAAAGGACTCAGGCTGATAAGCCAGTCCTGCAGGGAAGGGGTCCGGGTCTGGGTTGGCCCCAGGCATACCTGGGCGTTGCAATTTTCTTCGCGCCCGGCGTTTTCGCCGAGTCTCGGGACCAGGGGCTATCACATGTCCATCTGGCCTGAAAGATGCCGCAGAAAGATTGGGCCCAGGGCTTCAACATTGCACTTTTCGCAACGTCGGATCTCAAGAATGGATTTCGCGTGAGCGGAAACCCACATCACCCCAGTACATGCACAAACGGGCGGTCACCAGGATGGTTCCCAGTGGTTTGAGGGCAGAGGAGAGATGCAAGTTCAAGGGCTGGCTGCGTCCAAAAGACCGCAGCCCGCGGAGAGAGGGGGGCCCGAAAGGAGGGAACAGAAACGACCGAATCGCCGACCGAAGGGCCACGAAAAATCGAGCGAGGGCCTGCCAATCTAGCGACGATTAAAAACGGGCCTCACGCGAGATGGCGCATCGACCTTACGCGGTGGCTTACGCGGGCCACCAGCGCGGAAAGTCACAATGGAGACGAGGGCGCTTACGCGCGCCCTTCGCGAGCAGCGTACGCGCGAATGCCGGCGCAATCGAACCCGTTTTCTTGCATCGCTCAAGTGGCGCCGCAGCAGACGGGGCCACCGGATCGCCGAGGTGTCGGCCAGCGATGCGTGGGCGACGCCAGGACGGAAGGCATATCGGGCTTCCAATCCAGCCGCGTCCTCGCCCATCCGTCGCCGATGCGGCAGCACCCTCCGACCGCATCTGCTCCGATCCCATAACCCGGACCCTCTCGCGTCGTGAACAAGTCACGACGGGAGGTTCTTCGCTATGTTTGGCCTCCGGGGGCCCCTCCGGGGCCTCGGGGCCGTCGAAACATGACTCAGGACGAAAAAAACTGGCCCCTGAGAAGGGGTTCAAGCTCCTGGGGTCACGTCATGGAAAAATCATGACGTCGGGGGTCTGGGAGCCCAGACATCCGGGGTCTTGCTCTTCCGGACGGGGTACCCGGAAGTCCCGGCTCTTTCCCCGGGGACTGGCCTCTCGTCGTTCTGTGGACGGTCCCCGGGGGCCCAGCGAGAGCCCCCAGAGGTCAAAAACTGGCAGGAACCGTCCGTCGTGACTGTTGGACGACGCGAGCATGTCTGGGAAAGGCAGGCTTGGGATGGGAGGTGGCCGGGCCTGCCGCCGACTCCGCGGGTCTCCTCGGCCCAGCTTCGCCGGGCGGAGCGCTCCCGCACCCCCAGCCACGCGCTGCTCGGCGAGCTCCGCACCGAGTTCAGGTCCGCCTCCCGCCGGGGGCCTAAGGACCCTCTTCCTGCTGCGGCCGCTGCTGGCTTCTCTCTTCCGCTGCTGCGGCTAACAGTCGGGGTTGGTCGGAGAGGACACGCGAGAGGACACGAGACCCTTCCGAGGGCCACATTGCCACAGGAACGTGAGAAGGCATGGGTCGCGAAGCTCAGGCTACAAGAGTACCCTCGACTTGGCAGGGTCGACCTACCAATCAGTCTCGACTGTGTGTATTGCTCCCCAGACCCTCTCGCATCGTGGACGCAAACATGACGCCACTCTTCTTCGCCGTTCTCGGCCTCTGCGGGCCCTCGCCGAGCCCCAGAGACCGCTGAAGAGCAACTCAAGATGAGGAGCCACTCCTCAGAGATGGGTCGAGACCACCGGGACTTCACGTCATGATTAATTCATGGCATCGGGGATCTATATGGGCGAGCAACGACATATGTACATGTACGCCCTCCACGGTCTTGCCTGCACGAACGTCCGCGTTGACACGCACTCCAGAGGAAGCTAATCGCGTACGTGTGCATATGTTGCTGGCCTCTGACTATAGGTCCTCCTGCTACTTACCGGGGGCTGCCACAAGGCCGAGCTCAGGGAGGATCGTTCTGTACAGTGGGGGCTGGACTACAAGCAACCGTCCACAAGAACCCCAACCCTGAGACCCCAGGGCGTCCAGTGACATGTGGTGTGGGAACGTCACGCTTCCATCGCAGAACCATCGAAACCCAAGAAACCCAGGGCACCCTGGAGGCAAGCAGGGTGCTTCGTGGCATGGGCCTCCACTGCAGGGAGGGCAGCGGCGCCCGTGCCCTTCTGCCTTTCTGCCCTCGAGGTGTTCGAACGAGGCCACACGCGCGAGACCGTGCCACGAAGCCTCGTGGCAGTCCCCGATGCAGCAAGTCCTCCCGCTGCCCCCGCCCCGTCGCTCCCTCCTCTCCCTCATTCCCTGGGGCGCACAGAGACATACCAGTACTATATACGTCCTCCTCGGAGGCGCGCGTCCGACCCCAACATATGATACCCATCTTGCAGCAGATCGTTTGCCGAGCGGAATGGCCCGAACGCGCCCGCCACGACGCATACACTGTAAGAGAACTCGGTGCGCGCGGCGCCCCTGGGGGGGGCGACGCACATATAGTATGAGTATGTTGGGGTGACGCCGATTCCCCTCCGCCTTCCAAGGCCTCCAGCGTCGTGCGTTTCGCCACGCGGGCCCCAAGAAGGTTCCCGCAGACTGGCTTCTGAGCTCGAGCCGCTGAATTGGCGGCCCTGGGGCCCCGTCGTGCCGGCCCCACAGAGGCCGAACATTGCCACCGCCTTGACGTCATGCTTTGGTCTGTTTCTCGCGCGTGTTGTTCGGCTTCTGCGAGGCGCACTGACATGGCTGACTGACTGCCTTGTAGCAACCGCTAGGCGGCCTTCTTTTAGATCCGGCCCCGGATGCCTAACACACAGCGCAACCGACAGCAAGCCGTCATCGCCTCGGCCGCGGAGTGCGCCACCGTGTGACCGTGTGGGCGCTATACTTCGGGCAGCAGCTTTCTCATTTGGCGCCTCGCCCGGACCGCTCCACAACGACAGGGCCCTCCAAGGACCTCGTGGGTCGGCCGCGGCGGCGTCAGCAAGTTCCCTTCGAGCCCTGCGTCAAGCTGCTGCGGTGCCCCAGGCATCAGTGAGGGGCTCAAGAGACCCAGAGAGACCCAGGACCCTCACGCTCTGAAAGACCAGGGCCGTCCGGGAAGACATGAGACAGCGTCCACTCGGCAGTGACACTACACAGGCCCATGGCGTCCATAGCACATGATGTCACTGTTTCTCCCATCCACGCTCCGATCCCGACCCCGCCCTCCATACGTAACGTCGGCACGGACATGCATCCAGCGATGCGATGCACTGGACCATTTACCTCTTCGAGACACGGGGCAAGCGCAACGAGCCCAGCACAAGGAACTGGTCGGGACATGCTGTTAAGAAGCTATCGAGAAGACCGCCTGGGACAAATCAGACGAGAGGGCCGTCAGATGGGCGTACATTCCTGACCGCAACCGCAGACAAGCCGCACCGACGGCGACGAGGACCGGTGGAGAGCAGGCCTCCCGAACCACTCTCAAAAATTAGCCTGGCGAAGGACCCAACCATATGCAGTTGTGAATGCCGCAATTGTGCTGGGTGGTGGCGAACGCATGCGGGCGGTGCCACTGGGACCTTCGGTGGAGCTCCCTATGAGGTCACGAAACGCTGTACTGGGTGGGTGAGACGCGGTCAGCAAGGGCTGTGCTGCGTGGTGGCGGACGCATGCGAGCGGTGCCACTGGGACCTTCGGTGGAGCTCCCTATTGGGGCCACGAAGCGCTGTACTGGGTGGGTGAAACGCAGGCAGGGAGCAAGGGCTGTGCAGGGTGGTGGCGGACGCATGCGGGCGGTGCCGCTGGGACCTTTGGTGGAGCTCCCTATAAGGCTACGAAGCGCTGTTCTGGGTGGGTGAAGCGCAGGGAACAAGGGCTGTGCTGGGTGGTGGCGGACGCAAGCGGGCAGTGCCACTGGGACCTTTGGTGGAGCCCCCTATGGGGCCACGAAACGTGTGAGGGGTGTGCCGAAATGGGGGGTGGAACCGCATGCGAGCGCAGCCACTGGGGCCTTCGGTGGAGCTCCCTATGGGGCCACGAGACGTGTGAAGGGCGTGCCGAAAAAGAGGGTGGAACCGCATGCGAGCGCAGCCACTGGGGCCTTCGGTGGAGCTCTCTATGGGGCCACGAACCGTGTGAGGGGTGTGCCGAAATGGGGGGGGGAACCACATGCGAGCGCAGCCACTGGGGCGTTCGGTGGAGCTCCCCATGGAGCCACCCACGAAGCGTGTGAGGGGTGTGCCGAATGGGGGGTGGACCGCATGCGAGCGCAGCCACTGGGGCCTTCGGTGGAGCTCCCTATGGGGCCACGAAACGTGTGAGGGGTGTGCCAGAATGGGGGGTGGAACCGCATGCGGGCGCAGCCACTGGGGCCTTCGGTGGAGCTCCCTATGGGGCCACGAAACGTGTGAGGGGTGTGCCAGAATGGGGGGTGGAACCGCATGCGGGCGCAGCCACTGGGGCCTTCGGTGGAGCTCCCTATGGGGCCACGAAACGTGTGAGGGGTGTGCCAGAATGGGGGGTGGAACCGCATGCGGGCGCAGTCACTGGGGCCTTCGGTGGAGCTCCCCATGGGGCCACGAAACGTGTGAGGGGTGTGCCAGAATGGTGGGTGGAACCGCATGCGGGCGCAGCCACTGGGGCCTTCGGTGGAGCTCCCTATGGGGCCACGAAACGTGTGAGGGGTGTGCCAGAATGGGGGGTGGAACCGCATGCGGGCGCAGCCACTGGGGCCTTCGGTGGAGCTCCCTATGGGGCCACGAAACGTGTGAGGGGTGTGCCAGAATGGGGGGTGGAACCGCATGCGGGCGCAGCCACTGGGGCCTTCGGTGGAGCTCCCTATGGGGCCACGAAACGTGTGAGGGGTGTGCCGAATGGGGGGTGGAACCGCATGCGGGCGCAGCCACTGGGGCCTTCGGTGGAGCTCCCTATGGGGCCACGAAACGTGTGAGGGGTGTGCCAGAATGGGGGGTGGAAGCGCATGCGGGCGCAGCCACTGGGGCCTTCGGTGGAGCTCCCTATGGGGCCACGAAACGTGTGAGGGGTGTGCCAGAATGGGGGGTGGAACCGCATGCGGGCGCAGCCACTGGGGCCTTCGGTGGAGCTCCCTATGGGGCCACGAAACGTGTGAGGGGTGTGCCAGAATGGGGGGTGGAACCGCATGCGGGCGCAGCCACTGGGGCCTTCGGTGGAGCTCCCTATGGGGCCACGAAACGTGTGAGGGGTGTGCCAGAATGGGGGGTGGAACCGCATGCGGGCGCAGCCACTGGGGCCTTCGGTGGAGCTCCCTATGGGGCCACGAAACGTGTGAGGGGTGTGCCAGAATGGGTGGAACCGCATGCGGGCGCAGCCACTGGGGCCGGTGGAGCTCCCTATGGGGCCACGAAACGTGTGAGGGGTGTGCCAGAATGGGGGGTGGAACCGCATGCGGGCGCAGCCACTGGGGCCTTCGGTGGAGCTCCCTACGGGGCCACGAAACGTGTGAGGGGTGTGCCAGAATGGGTGGGGGATGGGGAGGAGGGGGGAGGAAGGGGAGGAGGAGGAAGGAGGAGGAAGGAGGAACGCGGGGCGACGTCTCTTCAAGGAGGAGGAACGCGGGGACAGCAGGATGGTTGGGAAAAATCAAAAAGCGCCTGGACCGCCGGCGGCAGGGTAAAGGCGCAGGCGGAGGGCTACCTAAGCAGGGGTAACGTTGTAGGAGCGGAGACTGGGGGGCCCTGCCAACCCAACTCCTCGACAGACGTGATGGGGCTGAGGGGGGGGGGCACTCGCCTCCGCAGGCGGGGAGAAGAGGAGGAGGAGGAGGAGGAGGAGGAGAAGCAGAAGGAGGAGGAGGAGGAGGAGGAGGAGGAGGAGGAGGAGGAGGAGAGGAAGGGCACGAAAAGGAGGGAGGAGGGGCAAGGAGGAGGAGGAGGAGGAGGAGGAGGAGGAGGAGGAGGAGGAGGAGGAGGAGGAGGAGGAGGAGAGGCAAGGCGGAGGAGGGGCAAGGAGGAGGAGCGGGAGGCGCTGGAGAAGGCAGAGGAGGGGGCAGGCGGAGGACGAGGATGGCGCGGAGCCGCGCCTCGTCTGTCAGCGCCTCCTCGCGGCCCTCCTCCCGGATGCAGAGCTGCTTCCCGGCGGGGTGCGCGAAGCGGCAGGCGCTGCCTCGGGCGGCAGGCCTTCTAGGAACGCTCTCGGGAGGGCCCCCCCCATCGGATCGAATCGGGCACGTCCATCTACAGGAGGAATACTCAACAATTGTCAAAGCATGAGATGGGGACGGTGTTCCTACTAGTTAGTTCTGGTTCTGTTTGAACTTGTCTTGGCAATTTTTAGTTTCCCGTCCAAAAATCCGCATCTACGAGGACATGCCCGACGTAACCCTCGGATGGAAGCGCGCGCTGGCGCGCGGGGGGCGACGCCATGCAGCGCCGACCGGCGCCGGCCGAGAGGCGAGGATGCGCCCACGCGCCGCGCCCAAGCCGCGGATTGAAAAACATACCGGAGGACGTCAGGGCACCAGCTGCACGCCAAAGCGGCCCTGGGCGGGAATGGCCTCCTGGTGCTCGGCTTTCGGCGGGCCGCGGAGGGGGGGAGGAGGAGGAGGAGGAGGAGGAGGAGGAGGAGGAGGAGGAGGAGGAGGAGGAGGAGGAGGAGGAGGAGGAGGAGGAGGAGGAGGAGTGGAGTGGAGCAATCGGACGTAGTCCGTTCGGAACCCGGAGACGCCAGGGGGGCCATCCAATATTTCTCGGAGGGCCGTGGGGGGCGACATCCCACGGCACACCGCGACAGGCCCCCCTGGCCTCACAATTTACTCGGAGGCAGCACCCGCCGCGTAGGAACCGATCGCGGCTTCGGCTGCCGAAACGTGCATAGCCTCTAGAACAGACTTGCTGGGACCCGATCTGGACGGGTGAAGGCCTCGCCTGATCCTGCTGAGGTTTTCGAGGCCTTTGCCAGTGGGTCCCAGGGCCCTGCGCTCTCCCACTTGGTGGGAGAGAGGGCAAGGAAACTGTAGGCTTTTAACCTGGTGTGTGGCCGTATGGCCGCACTTCACACAGAAGAACATTTGCCACTTGGGGATGGTGGCCAACGTGTGGGAGGGGTGTATCGCCTTGCCACTGATCACACGGGGACCCCGCGACCACAGCACCTCGCCACACGCAGCAAACTCGGGAAGGGGGCAAGGCGGTACACACTCCGTGGCGGCAGCTGGAATAACGTGGCAAGCATCGACGATGATGAGGCAGGCAGAGCATCGCCATTTATCTGCACACCGCTCGAATTTGTGCTGAGAAGCCGCGATCGCGGTCTGCAACATAGAACGAGGGGCTGCCTCCTGGGTGGGTTGCCTCTCTGGCCACAGTCCTCGAGGCTCTGAATTCTTGCCTAAGGAACGTAGGATCAGTCGTGCCCTCTGTCGGACAATGGCTGCGATAGCATCGTATTCATCGGTCCTGGGAACAGGCGGGAGGGCAAGGGTGGCCGACTTGTGGGCCGCGCTTCCCGCGAGCTCGTCGGCTTGCTGGTTGCCGAGAGCAAGAAATTTTTGGAAACCATGCAAAGTCTGGGGATCGGCATGAGATGGGGTCCAGAGCACCGTGACCGAGGAGACGCCGCCAGGTCGATCCTGCACGAGGTGCCGAATTCTCAGCCAGAGATCCCCATTCTTATTCTTACCTCCAAGGCTGCCTGGCCTGAGACATCTGCCATTCTGCCAACCACGCTGCAGGGCTAGGTGATCTGTAACAAACGTGAAATCCTGCTGGCACGTCTCAAGTGCCAGGCAAAACGCATATAATTCGCCTCTTGGGACGGTCTGGCGGGGGCCTGGGAGGGGGGCAAGGAGGCCCGCGTGGAGGGTCCAGGAGGCCGAGGGAGGGTCCCAACGGAGGGCCGCGAGGCCAGAACCAACGCGACGTCGCCTGACGTCGTCGGAAAAGGCTCCGCCAGACCCGTCACCAAAAAGAAACAACTCGCCCTCTGCGTTACGAGCTCCTTCCCAAGACGGCAATCCCTCCCGCACCGCCCCAACAAACTCCCACCCGTCCCTCCCAATCAATGGCTCGAACGTGGGCGTGGTGAGAGCGACAGAGGGAATGCCACGGAGCCACAAGGCGGGGTCGGCATCGACCCCCGCCACGGCACGCGGCAGTAGCTTGTCACTGGCCTCAAACTCGGGTCCCATATTCGCCTCGCACTGCCATATTCGGTGAACCAAGGTTTCAGGAACTCCAGCGCTGCATCGGTCGCAGTTCTTGTCGATCTGGTAGCCCGCGTTGTGGAGGCGGTCTCTGGTCCACTGTCCTCCGCTGACGATGGTGTTGTTGAGGGCCCAGTCGCTGAAGTCGCCGTTTGCGAGGAACCTCCTTTGTTCAATGCGGATAGTGACCATGTCTGCGCCTCCAGCCAGCGTGTCACCATGGGCATGCGTAGCGGCCTGGGTCCAGAGGAGCCTGTGTAAATCCTCGCTGAGGTCCTGCAATACTGTGTGAATGTCAGCGTCGAGGAGGTCGGGGTCATCGGCAGGGGGGAGGTTCCACCCCTCAATGTAGCCGTCCTTTGTACGCCTCCACGTGGTAGCTGAGGTCGGCTCCCAACTGGCCTCCAGCAGGGTCGCGATGGCCGCGCCAGTGGGTCCCTTGACCTTGCACCACAGCTTGGGGCCTGCGGCGAGCAAGGTGGTCTTGATCCTTGGCCAGGCCCTGATGATCCTGGCGTGCGTGCTCGGGTGGCGTATCCAGTGCTGAAGCCATGCCTCTATGAACCCGATCCTTAGGGAAACTCCTGGGTCCATGCCGTCAAAGGTGGCGCCGAGGAGGGAAGTGAGGCATCGGCCCGCTGCTGCGCCCGTGGCAGCAATGGCGGCCTGACGCCGCCATCGTAGTAGAGCGTGCCGAGCGAGGCCGTGCACCTGATGACCGAATACCCCTTCTGGGAGAGCGCCAGTGCGCCACAGTCCAGCTGAGATTCGGGCCTGCTGCGCTGTGCTCCGTAGTCGGTGTATCTTGCGAAACCTAGCTGTGGCTGAGCTCTGTCGCTTCCTGGCTTTGGCTTGTACACGTCGAGTAGCCGCGGCCGCGTCAACTCCAAGGTCGACGGCCGTGGCGGTCGCAGTAACTGGGATGTCGGACTGTCGCATTTTCTTGGCTAGCGAGTGGCGGGCCTTGGGGGTGGAGCCGATGAGGACGGTCTTGTCTGAGATAGGCAGCTCGAACTCCTCTAAACCGTCGCAGAGCGTCTTGGCGGCACGGGGGAGATGCTTCTGTAGAGTACGTAGGACTCCTTCGACTCGAAGAACAGTGTCGTCTACGAAGGTCCACATCTGGGCAAGCTCTGCCTGAGCTTGGGCTTGCCGAAGAATTGGTAGTAACGTGAGTCGTGCCAATGTGGTGCCGTGAGGGGAGCCTGCAATGATGCCTTTGGAGGCGAAGATAGGCATACTCACCCATTGTCGACTGCGCAAGAATCTGGGCGCCAGGTATAGCTGTACTTCCAGTAATAGAATGATGGGGGGAAAGCCGCAGTTGAGGCCGACCATGATGAGGTTGGCGAGCTTAATATTGTCGTAGAACTTTTGGATGTCTAATAGCAAGGTGGCCGACTGTATGCCAAGTGCTGAGGCTGTCTCGTCTAACCAGGCCCTATGTAGGGCGGCTTGGAGAGCTGAGGAGCCTTTGATGGCTGTAGTTCAAAAGTCGTCCAGACCTTGCGTCCAGGCTGCCGATGCAGTCGATCTAATGCGAGACCAGAGTCTGGCCATATGAGGTAGCATGCCGAGGACCCTGTCGCCTCCAGACTTCTTGGCGGCGAGAGCTGCAATGGTGCCTGAAATTTGTAGTGGCCAGATGCCTGCTTGCCCTACTGAGTTGAGGATGTCTGCATCAGCTTCGACTGCTGGTTCTGGTAGTCGGTGGAGGTCGCGAGGTCCTAGGGCGTCAACTCCGTGTGCTTTACTGGGTGGCATGCGGCCGTGAAAGCGGAGTACGATCTCGGCTGTGATGGGCTCGAGCGGCTGATGAGCGGCTGCTGCCTTGGCCTTTGACAGGGCCTGTAGGATGTCGTCAGAGGTCTCGGTGGCTTGCCATACTTGTTGCCATTGTTGCTTCTTGTTGTCCATGATAACGGTGGGGTCGGCGATGGTCAGGTTGGCCGTGTAGGCCTCGATGTGACGTACGGGCGCTGGCTTGACATGGGCGTGTAGTAATCCAGGGCGGTGCTTCCATTGCTGGGCGAGCCAAGCCCCGTAGGCCCTCTTGGACTTGGCAAGGGCGGCCGGGAGAGCTCTGGAGGCCCAGGTAGCGGTAATGGTGACCAAGTCGTCGGTGTCATCCTTGTCCAAGTGCGGGGCCCAGACGAGTGCAAACCAGCGGAAGATGGTGTCCTCATCCTTCTCGAACTGGAGGTCGTGCATGTGTGTGTTGAAGTGGTCCGCGCGCTGCTGGATGATGGAGGCCTGCTGCTGCATGAGCGCTGTGTGCTTGGGCTTGTCGTGAAGCGCAGCGTAGCGCTTGATGAGGGTGAGCGTGATTGCCCACCATTCCGACTGAGGGTCGTGTACGTGTACGCGGCCTGGGGCGGCGGCTGTCTTCTTCCAAGATAACTGGTAACCCTGGGCTCGGCCTGTGTATGCTGCGGCTTCCTTCGGGTCGATCTGGTGGTGGCTGATCATGGTGTTCTCGAGCGCCGTGACCCATTTGGCGTACTTGAGGTTGAGGTCGTCAGCGTCGTGCACCCAGTGTCTGTACACGAAGTGCGCGTGAGGCTGCTTACAACGTGTGGGTACCGCTTCCTGCCATTGTTCTTCCCACAAGTCCATGGGGATCGCATAAGGGATAGGTTCCTGTGCTGCGGGCTCGTCTTGTGGCTGGAGCTGTGCTGCTGCTTGTTGGAGTTCAGGAGGTAGATCACGTAGACGTGCTGCTCGAGCTTCAGCTGTTTTACGTTTCTTGATGGCGGTCTTGCTGTTGGGGTCTGGCGGGATCCTGGGTCTGTCCACTATGGGGAATGCCTTGGGAGTATCGATCGACTGATACCAACAGGGGTCTGCACTGCCTGCTCGAACTTCAAGGCCAACATGGGTGGCCCAGGGTACGGTGGGGCACTGGCGAATGGAGATCGTGTGCTCGATGCCAGTCTTGACCAATGCGAAATCAAGCGTGAGT